GACTGTGTCAAGGATGGAGGTCTGGAACTTTCTGTCTCAGCTGACGACTGTGTCAAGGATGGAGGTCTGGAACTTTCTGTCTCAGCTGATGACTGTGTCAAAGACGGGGGTCTGGAGCTTTCTGTCTCAGCTGACGACTGTGTCAAAGATGGAGGTCTGGAGCTTTCTATCTCAGCTGACGATTGTGTCAAGGATGGAGGTCTGGAACTTTCTGTCTCAGCCGACGACTGTGTCGAAGATGGAGGTCTGGAACTTTCTATCTCAGCTGACGACTGTGTCAAAGACGGGCGTCTGGAGCTTGGGTCATCTACTGGCTTTTTAATGGTCTCCAGGAAAATGGGCACGGGTTTGCCATCAATTGACATCTGGTGCTCTTCCTGTTCCAGTACTCTCTCCTTAGCTTCAGGGAGACATTAAACACACACACATCCACACAGAAATGAGAGAGAATTTACAGATGACCCTCAAGGCCCTCTCTGGGTTGATCTAGGAACCTCCAAGGACACCAAAATCCAGAGATATCCCTTATAGGCTTAGGACTTTCACACAAGCTACCCATATTCTCCCATGCTTTTTGTTTGCTTGCTTTTTGTTTGTTTTTGAGAGTCTCACTATGTATGTAATTCTGGCTGTTTTGGAACTCCCTATATAGACCTGGCTGGCCTTGAACTCACAAACATCTGCCTGTCTCTGCCACCAGAGCACTGGGATTAAAGGCATGTGCCACCACACTGGCCTTCCATACCGTTTAAGAATCTCTAGATGGCTTTAATCCCTCACACAAGGTAAACACTATGGAAACACATGTTAGGTTGTATTGTTTAGGTGGGTGAAGCCAGGATGTGGGCCCGGTGTGTAAGTTTCCTCAGATGAAAACATTCCATCCTGTGGGGAAGGAAGCTCCTAAAGCAGGAAGGTAAACAACTTAAACTAGCTTCAGGAAGTCCCTGAAACTGACCAGATTCACCAGACCCCCCCCACCTGCTAGAGTAATCAATGAAGACTGTTGAGAGTCCTTCTGAGACACCCAGAACAGAGTGGCAGTTAAGACTCAGACAAGCCAAGCTGCACTGAGGACACCAGACCATCTGCCCAGAAGAAACAGAAACCAACCGAGTTGCCTGGAAGAGGTCTAGACCAGAGTCACTTGGAAAGGACACTGCCCCACCTGTGGAGCTGCCTATGAGAGAGCAAAACAAACTCCATTTTAAAGAAAACTTCATTTCTAGTAATACGAAGATAAAAAGCTGAACCAAGTTCCAGAGACATAAACACCTAGCTAAGAC